CAGTGGAAGGAGAATATGAGAGGGGGACAGAAAGTGGGTGAAAGTTGTCCGACATAAGACTGCAATATTCCGGAGTGTGTGAACAGACTGCGGATATGAAGTGTACCGATTCGGAAACTGTGTGAACTGCGTAATCCAGACTTTTTTTTATTTTTTTGTTTCTAGATAGGAACCAATGCAGATTTTTGTGCTTGAAATTTGAACTTGCCAACGGATATGTCATGTCACCCTGTTGGAGCTGTTGTCATGCTCTCTAGTAAGTTGTTTATTATTGTTTTTTTCGTGAAAAGTTCAAAATGGTGCAGCTATGATGATATATCATTACGTCCTTCTTAGGACGTTATTTTTTGTTATTTGAAGCCCCACTCTGGCTTTTGCCAGGGGCCGTAATATAGGCAGGTCATCATTATGGCCAAATGTCTGAACGCGGTTTCTGGGACCTCTCCACAGTGATCCTCATCCGCATGGTGGCACTTTGTGTCATCGGGTGTTTATCGCTTGTGTGATGTCCTGGTGGGGTAAAAAGCCAATCCAAAATGGTGCAGTTTATAACGCTGTACAAATGTCCCGGTATAAATTTGTTCAATTTCCAAAACTTGCTCAAAATATGTCTCCGGTTTTATAGATTTCTTAAATTTTTTTAACATGTCAGATTTTCGTCTCTTGTCTGACTATATTGACAAATGTCTAATGTTATGACATACATCTCTCTTGTTTCAAATCGACGTTTTCCTTTAGAGTCTGTAAGTTATGTGTATAAGTTTTAGCATCGTCATAATTGTTTTTAACACTTTTGGTAAGCTGGACATGTTTTTTCTTTATTCTAGAATCAGTTTACTTATTCCAATTTATTATGTCATTATATATCATAAACTATCCATATCCAATCCACCCGCCCGTCGTCTCTGCCTCGGTTCGTCTCTGCCCCGGTTCGTCTCTGCCCCCGTTCGTCTCTGCCTCGGTTCGTCTCTGCCTCGGTTCGTCTCTGCCTCGGTTCGTCTCTGCCTCGGTTCGTCTCTGCCTCGGTTCGTCTCTGCCTCTGTTCGTCTCTGCCTCTATTCGTCTCTGCCTCTATTTGTCTCTGCCTCTATTTGTCTCTACCTCTATTTGTCTCTGCCTCTATTTGTCTCTGCCTCTATTTGCCTGTCTGTTTCTGTCTGTCTGTTTCTGTCTGTCTGTTTCTGTCTGTCTGTTTCTGTCCGTCTGTCTGTCTGTCTGTTTCTGTCTGTCTGTCTGTTTCTGTCTGCCTGTCTGTTTCTGTCTGTCTGTTTCTGTCCGTGTCTTCTGTCTGTGTCTGTCTGAGTCTGACTGTCTGTGTCTGTCTGTCTGAGTCTGACTGTCTGTGTCTGACTGTCTGTGTCTGTCTGTCTGTGTCTGTCTGTGTCTGTCTGTCTGTGTCTGACTGTCTGTGTCTGACTGTCTGTGTCTGACTGTCTGTGTCTGACTGTCTTTGTTTGAATCTGTCTTTGTTTGAATCTGTCTTTGTTTGAATCTGTCTTTGTTTGAATCTGTCTTTGTTTGAATCTGTCTTTGTCTTTGACTGTCTATATCTGTCTTTGTCTGTGTCCGTCTGTCTGTGTCCGTCTGTCTGTGTCCGTCTGTCTGTGTCCGTCTGTCTGTGTCCGTCTGTCTGTGTCCGTCTGTCTGTGTCTGTCTGTCTGTGTCTGTCTGTGTCTGTCTGTGTCTGTGTCTGTCTGTGTCTGTCTGTGTCTGTCTGTCTTTATCTTTGACTGAATCTGTATTTGGCTGTGTCTGTCTCTGTCTGTCTGTCTGTCTGTCTATGAATTTAGTACTACATAAGTGTATAGGTACGCAAGTAGGCAGGCATATAGGTAGCTAGCTGGGTATTATCTCCCCCCCCCCCCCGCCCATCACAACCCTCTCCCACAAATCTAAGCCACGACGGAGGTCCGTATGTTTCGTCGCCCCCTTGATTTCACCGCCGTCCCCAGGCACTGAAGGGGCAGCTGTCAATCAATCTGTCAGAATGTCAGTCAATTTGTGACAATTTCTTCAATCGCTGGATTACCGCCATAAGCTAGTGACCGGTCAGTGCTCGATTGTGCACCTGTGTTCTTTGATTGATTTGAGAAACGGCGACTTTTAATGTCCTACTTTCTTGATTGATCGTCTGTACTTGCGACCCCCTTTTGAATCCACTCACAGAATTATTCATTAAAACTCTTTCGAGTCGTGACTCCGTTTTATAGGAGCAAAGTATCTCCCCCCCCCCCCCCCCCCCCCCCCGACCCTTTTACAAGAAACAAGTTCTTTTTTATTAGTTAAATGAAAACCAGTGGCGCGGCGTGATTAGTTCGTATGTGTAAGTTTTAGCAGGTAAGTTTTACACTTAGAGGGTATCGCCGGATATTTTCCTCCTCATCACTGCGCTGTGTAGAGTATGCTTTGCAGTTAGCAACTATCATCGTAGTACTATATACTGGTAGCTTACAGTTTCTGCATGAGTTTCGTGAGCATTAGGTGAACGTTTCTTCATCTTCCGTGCGGCGTATTTTTCATAAAATCTAAACTGGTAATAATAAATGGTAAGCTAATTTATTTCTCTTGGTGTAGAATGTTAAATAAAGATATTAAGAATCGATGTCACAGCATTTGGGACACTCCCAAAAGCGCTCCGTTCTTATCTTCAACTGCAAGCGAATAATTTCTATTCCAATGGTACCAGTACCTGTATGATTGTATATTCGTTTCAATCTTTCCTTGAGTGTTGAGCGTCGGCCAAATCCCATCGTAACTTCCCACAGTGCCATTCTCATCAGACTGTAGTTATCTATTTGTGCCCCTGCACTGTTCACTCGCCCCCAAAGGGCCCTCACAACATTTAGCTTGTCATCATAAGTTCACCACTAAGTGGTACAGAACCGGCCAGTCTATATGCCTGCTCATTTCCCAACACACCGGCATATCCTGGAGAAAATATCCGGAACTTTAGAGGTCTAGGGCAGTTATACCCGGAACCTCTAAAGTATGCTTGCTACTCTGCACGGAGTATGCCTGTCTCCGCCTTTCTCAACATGCTCTGTGAGTCAGTTACAATGACGGCATGTGTGTAACAGCTGATTCTTAAGCCAGGGGAAGGCAGCGGAGACTGCCTCCACCTCCAAACTCAAACAATACTTTTTTATATCATATGCCAGATTTTGATGCACTAAGCGACGTCCATTCGCTTTTGTAATGAACCCCATGCACTTCGTCTGCCCTTCGGTAGAGAGCCATCTGTATAGACAGGTAATCAAATCACCTGCGCAGGAATTATCATGCGTCATTTGTTGAACTTCTGATTCTACAGCACCAGCTGGCCAGTCCCTGCACCCACGACCGTGAGAAGAACCGTACACAAGTCTAGAACTTGTTCAGACACTTTGACTCTTTTGTCAAATACAGTTTGTAGTTTCTGTTTATTTATTCAACCGATCAGTATCATGGCACACGGGTGTAACCCATAAGTGCTCCGTTCTACTTCTAACCCAAGCAGGAGTCTGAGGTATCCCAGCGCAGTGCACGAACTCCGTTGCACTGGTGAGGATCGTTAAATACTTTGGGTAGATTTTCAACTCAAAATTTTGCCAGAGCAGCGCCGTCAGGCCATTTTTTTTCAATTTCCAACTGCCAGGGAATTTGTTTTACGTGCGCAACAATACGCACGCGCGTCCGGTCTTACTGCGCAGAAAAGAGAGGAAATTACTAGAATTCCGCGTGAAAAAATCATAGCTTTCACCGGGGATTGAATCCGGGACCTCCAGCACTTGAGGCGGATGCCATACTTCAAGACCACGCAGCCCACCGCTGATAATAAATTACTGCCACTGTGTGCTGAGATCTCCGATATGGGTTCTGTAGTATAATTACGTCCTTAAGAAAGAAAATAGGGGCTTTTGAGCCGAAATGCTATAGAAAGATTCTCATAATATCTTGGACAAAGAAGAGGAGAAATACTGACAAATATTGAAAGATCTTAACATCAAGGAAGATTGGCTAATAAACAGCATCGTTTCTCGGAAGCTGAAATATTTTGGTCATATCAAGCGCCACAACGGATTGGAAAAAATTATAGCAGAAGGCATGGTACCAGGATGGAGGGGCAGGGGCCGACCAACACGAAGATGGGCACAGGACATAAGTGACTCCTTGAGTATGAAAGTACACTAGGCTGGAGAATTGGCAAGAGACCGAGTTTCTTTCAGGCAGACTGTGATGAAAGCGACGTTCTGCTAAGGACCTGATGAGTATAATTTCAGCAAAAACATTTTTTAAAAAGAGCCCCCCCCCCCCCCCCCCCCCAAAAAAAAAAAAAAAAAAACACCAAGACATCATTGGAATGGTGGAAACACACCTGCAATTAGATTTATCGAACAACAAGGAACGAAATGGTTCGGTCATATGGTCAAAATGAAACTAGCATCATCCTGTGCTGACAGCAGTCAGATCAACAATATCCTCGTGTGGGTAACGCGGTCCCATTTTGGATAACAAAGAAAAAACTCACTGACCTTTACCAAGCATGTCGTAAGAGACGATTAACTAGGGATGTATCTTTAGAGTTGGGAGTTATCTGCCTGAGAGGCGAAAACCAGCAGTTTGTATAAGCTAGGTCTGTAAAACTCAAGTTCTGGATCAAGACCAAATTTTAGGAGTGGACGAACAACAAAATTTTCCACAGAAAAATTAGTGAATCAGTTAGTCAGTCAGTCATCCAGTCAGTCAGCCTGCCTGCCTGCCTATTCGACTTTCAGTCCGTCTATCCGCACCTTCCTCCTTCTGCCTCTCTGTCCCTCTGTCGGTCCGCCCATCCATCCATCCATCCACGACCGGCTTCGGATAGACTCGTCGTGATCCATTAATTCATCCATTCATTAATCCATCCATCCCTTTGTCTTTGCGTCGGTCGGTTTCTTTGTTGGTCTGTCGGCCATTCTGTCATTCTGTCCATTTTCCTGTCAAGCAGTTTAAGTCTGCTCCCTGTTTCCTTGTCCAAAGGC